TTGTATACACTAGCTTATATCGCAAGTTTCGATTTAAAGATAAATGTTTCGTGCTTTCTCGAATCATTATACTCGTTTGAAAATGAGTACTTTCCATCGCAATTTACCGATACCGAGATATGTATCGTAAATAATTTTAGCGAAAGCACTTTTACTTTTCTCTAACCACTTCTCTCTGTTAAGATGTTTGCATATACAAAAATATACTTATTGCGATTGAAAGACTGGGTGAGCCCGTATCTCGATCGATATCGATATTTGGAGAAAATCGGATGAGTTTTGAGCACGTTATTAATGATACAAATCGCCGAAAACATTGAAATCCTAGATAACCTTCCAGACACCAACCCTGACTTTATTGACGCATTATCGCGAAGGAATTTATCGCTCGCTTCTTTATCGAAGTTTCAAAATTTTATTTTTAAAGTGACGCAAAGTTTACTGATCTCGTTACCGTTAATAAACTTAGCCGACGCCGATGACCTTCCTTGTTACAATTATAAGATATCCAATTTAAAGATTTAAACATTGCGGATCCTATTCTCAAATTGAACCCGGGAACGATCGAGCCGAAGACGGACTGAAGGGCAATCTTGCCCAGATTGGCCGCATGTAAATGACTCGTTGTCTACAGAAGGAGCAGGCCTAGGTGGTGTAGGGCCCACGGCGAGCTAGGTCGCTAACTCTAAGGGCCCTGAACAAAGACCGGTTCTCATATGAAGGTCACTAGTTCAATGGCGCCCATATGCATGCGGTGAGCTCTTTCCCGAAGGCCGTTTTACTTTCATCGAAGGCGACCAAAAACCGTTTCGGCAGCAACCGTACATGTCTCTCGCGGTCTCTCCTGCCTCCTCTCCCTTGCCCGCGTCTGATTTACCACGATGCCCGATCCACTTGCACTTTCGATCAGGTTCAAGGCTAAGAGAGAGAGAGAGAGCAAGACGGTGAATTCGCTCGTTCGTTTCGAGCCGAGCCGAGCTGGCCCGTGGAAAGGAGAAAGCGCGGCGTGCGTGTGCGTAGAAGTAGGTCATAGTAGCGCGTACATCGACGTAGCTCTAAGCTACGTGTAATCTCTTTAGGCTTAGCAAAGTCTGTCACTCGGCCGGATGGAATGGAATCGAATTAAGAAGCAGGATCAAAAACTGCGGTGATCAACAAGCTATACGTCTGTAAAACTTGTGCAGTGCATCTGCAATACCTTTTCTATTCTTCTTGATCTTTCTACAGCCAGATAGAGTTTTAGATTGTTATTATTTTAGATTGAACTCAGTTTAAATCAGATTCCGATTTTTTAATTTTGCGATCGTCTCGGATTCCCACGCGATTTTCTTTGCGTCTGCTTGCGTCGAAAACGCAAGCAAAATGATATGGGCCGAGGATCTTAGTTTTTAGTGCAGAGCGTGCCGGTTTCTCCTCTGATTTAGCATTGGCGAGCGATAGTGATGAAAGTCAAAGCTGGTTTGTCATGATTCGCGCAGGGAGAAACAAAGTTTCACTTTCTTGAGCGGCTCTCACATTCGCTCTCGACGTTCGCCGGCCTCGCGTTGACTTTTCATGTATCCCCGTTGATCGCGATCCGGTTTCTAAAACTCTCGCCGACGCGATTCGCTTTCGTTGGGTGATCGCCATCGGCGCTTTTTAAAACGGAAAACGAAAGTGGAGAACGCGACGCGTTCGGATCGACGAACTGCGGATTCTCCGATGTCAAAGCGACGCGTTCGACAGTCGCAAGCCTGAGCATCTCATTTCGAGATACCAATTAAAGATTCTCGAAACTCGATATTATTAAGGCGCGAGCCGGAAAATGCTCGATTTTGAAGGATAAAATTAATGAAATTTGATCGACGATGTCTCCGAAACTGTTTCGGAGTTTCCAAATAATTTATGCACAGTTCTCGTCTAAACTCGACACCGATGCTCGATGAATATCGCTATCGTATACGGAATATCGGGAATACGTTGAATTCAGAATGTAGTTGTAAGGACAGAGCGAGAGACTGGTTCAAGTTCACATAGCTGCGGGGCTCCATTGGAGGTTCAAGGTCGCTGGAGAAAGCCTTCCTTGTTCGTAGCATCGATAAAGTTTATATAGATTTATGATATATATAATTATGTATGCATTTATTACATTATATGCAAAATTATATTGCAAAATAATATAAGAAAGATTATAAGTGAGTTATCTCATTTTTCTCTATCTTTGCATAATTATTTCATTACTTATTTATTATCTAACAAGGATATTTTTAAAGTGTATACTTTTAGCGTATAGCGTATACTTTAGTGTATACTTTATCGTACGCGTAGGGGAACTCTGAAAATAGCCAGAAAATGTGACTCCAAGTCGATCTCTAGGCTCTCTTCTACTACTTCGCTTCCACACTTTATATATTTCTCTCTCTCTCTCTCTCTCACTCGCTTCATATATAAATTTTATACACACATTTCTCTTTTCTTTATTCAAATGCGAGCGACCTCTGGCTCATTATCATTTATTCTATAATATTATCTATCTATCAATCTATCCATATATGTATGTATACATACATATGTTCGTCTATCTATTCAGCTCGATCTTTTTCTGACACGCAATAACCATCTCTTTCTCTCATTGAGAGACCCTCGATTCCCCATTGTCGTCGATCGTTCTCTATTCTAACTCATGCGTGCTACAACACGTCTTGTCCCTAACCTAATACAACAGGAGTTGAGCTGAGCCACGACACGACCGTGCGTTCAGACCGGTTTGATGATTCAGGTTCATCTAGATCTAAACAACTACGAGTCCGGCTACGTAATACGCTACCCGCGTCTCCTCGTCTACCTACGACAATAACATGGTACTTACGTACTTCCACGTGAGAATAGTTTTGAAATGTCGCACGAGACGCGTTCTCGTGCCGGTCGAGAGTCACGGCCGGCGGATTTAGGCTCGCCTTGAACTTGATATTTGCATTAAAAAGAGTCCCCCCCTTTGTTGAACGGAATTTACAGCTAGCTACACACAACGGCAATTGATTTAAGTCAGGTCTCGACACCGTCTGGGATAATTTTTAATCGCTCGTTTGTTTCAGCCCTCCCATTTCCGACCTTCGAATTCTATCGAATTGAAATGCGTTTAAATCGCCCCGAGGTTACTGTTAGGCGTACGAGACGCGCACAGCCCGCGTACAAACGCGTGCGATACGGCCGATCGATTGAATTAGAGAGCTCTTCCCTTTTCATCGGCGCATACATCATCTCGTCGCATTCACATCCGCCCGACTTCCTCGCGGTTCGTCCAAGCTGGATGATTCGCGTCATTGGGCGGGCGAGGACGCGGGGATGGGACCGTCGCGCCGATCCCTGTCCAGGGAGGCCTTGACCTTCGTCGAACCGATCTAGAACGCGCGGCGAATTTACCGTCTAGAGGGATTCTCGGCCGAAATTCAGAAGGGTTTAATGCTCACACCATTATACTTATTATGTTCCATTCTTCTGCGGCGCGACTCGAGGGGGACTCGTCTTAGAAATTACGGCTCGTCCTAAGAATAGAGAGACACGACGGATGTTACTGCGCGATGCATGTCCGGTTTAGTTCGCAGTGACGAAAATCGGACATTAGGTACGTTTTAACCCTTTAGCGGCTCCTTCGAAGCATGCTCGGTTTCAGTGTGAACGCTTTTATGCCAAGTCTTGCCGTGGTTAAAAAGCGGATCTTGTTCAAGCCCTAAAGTACATCGCTATCTATGTCCGCATATATGTATGTATGCAAATTTAATTATGTCGCCATGCGTTTGACTTGTTAAGCATTTTACGCCGTGCTTTTTTTTTTTGAAATTAAAATATCATTTTTTTCCTTGCAATTTTTTTAATGCATCAACACTGTTAAACCTGCAAATCTGAGCGTTGATTATCCAACATTTTACAGAAATTTCCATCGACTTGAGTAATTAAATATGTATAATATGATATAAATATATAAAATATTAATAAATGTATAAGGGATAGAAAGAGTCGCGAATGAACTTGGGAGCGTTCTTCGCTAGATACGCCATTGCACCGAGATAGATGGATGGTTATAGCGAGTGCGTCGAAGCGGGATGCGGGGGCTGATCGATAAAAGCAAGCCTCGGGTTCACAAGCCTCATTCAAGGACAAGGCCATGTGATAGCAGACGCGCAACCGCGGCGCGCACTGAACTACCCCTGCCTATCGCTGGCACAGGGGCGGACACGCTCGGCACGGCTCTCCGCTTGCCGATGCACCAACAAAGAATGCACTCTCAGCGCCGTAACTAAGGCGTGGTAAAGGCGACGATACCTGTCCGAGCGTGAAAGGCATTCCCAAAAATATCTGGAATAATCAAAGAACTGATAGGATTGGTGATTTACTTTTTCATTTCGCCAACGTCGCCTTGATTTTTCGAAACAAGCGGAACGGTTTTGAGACCGACTTTGAAAAAGTCGTAAGATCTCTCGTGCCACTTTGATCGTTGAATTTGATCGACGATTAGCCGCGTAATTTATTGTTTTACGCGCGGAACAGACGGATTCGGTGGTGAGGGGTTGTATCCGAGGGTCGCGTCTTTCGCGCGTACGGAAGGAAGAAAGCGGCGGAGTGCGAGTGACGAGAAGGAGGCGGACGAAGGGCAAAGTCGGAGGGAGACTGTGCTGCGTGGTTTGGTGTGTAGGGTCGTATCGCGGGCAGCCGCTTTATATACACGCGCACGGATAGCAGCACGCCAGCACATCGGACGCTATAGGTCGAGAGAGAGAGAAAGAGAGAGAGAGAGAGAGAGAGAAGCGTGCACGCTTTTGCTTGCCGGCGGCTATAGGCTGCCCGTAGGGGCGAGAAAGAGAGGGCGAGGGAGAGCGAGAGAGAGGAGACCGGATCGGAAGAGAGGGAGAACGACGCGCCGAGAGGGAAAGAGATGACAGCGTCCGCCGCGCTTATGCACCACTGAATCCGCCGCGACCGGCACACTCTCACTTTCGCCGGCGTCGATGACGGTTCTCGGCGTCGTCGGCTCGTCAGAGCGTTGTGCATCAGCGATCGCGCATACGTTAACCATCGCTAATATTGTACATCCACGCCGCCTCTGTCGCGTGCCCGCACGCGAATTTTCCGCATCCGCGTCACCACTGTCCGCCGATCTCGCACGGATATCGCGCGCGCGTTTCTCCGCGAGGGTGACGCTGGCGCGCGACCCACGTGATAAACGCCTCTATCGCGACGTCGTCGTCGTCGTCAAAGACAGCGTGTCACGCCGACTTAGACGGTCGGCGGCTTGTTTTGACAGCGTGATAACGCCGCAGTCCACGACGGGGGTTGACGCTCGCTTTTGTGACGGCGATCGAGGATAGACGGAGAGGCGGTTACGCATCTCTCTCGCTCCAGCGCGCACGAGGGTGAGAGACGGGCGACCGTGAGTGGGGCAGAGTGGCGCGCCGGGAGGGAACGAGAAAGTGGTGGATGCGTGGGTGGTAGGAGAGAGGGGAAGGTCGACGCTGACTCGCGAGGGGCGACGCGTGTGCCGAGGACTGTTGTTTTCGGCGAACTGCTAAGAAACGTTCATTCACACGGCGATCGACGTCTCCGAAACGCGCGCTCGCTCCGCTCGCTCAAATTGCTCATCCTGCACTCCGTCGTAATTCGCGCGCCTCATTCGTGCGACTCGCGCGCGGACAAGAGCGATCGGTATCGCGAGCGAGAACTTCCGCGGGCACCTGCCACGCGCCACTGTGAGACATTGACCGTGACACTCGAGTACGCGTGAGAGAGACAGAGTGATTACGCGACTCCATTGGTCCAGGTGAAGTTTGATTTTAATCGCCGACAGAGAGGATACGATGACAGGTTGCATTCACGGGAGAAAGTGACTGAACCCAAGTGTTCTCCAATTTGTAGTTGTAGATCTAGAAGTAGAGTGAACCGTCGAGGCTCGCGACAGAAGGTGATGATTCTTCAAACTCAAGTGTCGCGCGACGAATTTAAAGACGGAGAAAAGTGCGACGAGAAGTGACAGATCCGAATTGTTTTCCCACGTCGGATCGAGGAACGGTGAAGCGCAAAGGTGCATCGTTTGGGGCAAACGTAATTGTTTTCAATTGTTCGCGGTATCCGCTTATTAGAGAGAGAGCAGAGATTCGAGCGGAATGCGTTTATAGGACTCGGTGACTGATCGTGCACGTAACGTGACTTAATTGTACATGTATCCACGTGTTAGGTGAGTGAAGTGGACGCGCACGACTTACATAGTACCAACGAGAGTGTCGTCTTTCGCGTGATCTTTGTGTAACCCGCGATAGCGCGGGTTCTTCGTAACGAAGGTGGCTCACACAGCTCGAGATAGGGCCGCCGAATTGCAGGCGGAAGTGCGCAGCGCCATAAGAGTGCTGCATGGCTGGTGCCCCCGGCCGCCGCAGGGGCACGCGCGGGGCGAAACGGTGCTAATGTCACCGCAGTCTCAAATACGTGGCAATCACGGAAGAAACGGCGGTCCGCCGCCGCCGCCGCCCGCTACAGTCGTAGTTAGCTCGACGTCCAGCATGAGACCGCCGCCGCCGCCGCCGCCTCCCAGAGCGCGGAGCTCGAACGAGAGCAAGGGTCATCACGAGGAACCCACCAGTTCTATTCCGGACCTCGGTGAGGAGCCTGAATCAATCTTTCCCAACTGTATTTCGAATATGTATCTAGATGTAAGAATTCGCGGTTCCCCTTTTTTTCTCAATTGTTTTTCGAAAATCGTTCTTCGCGAACTCGTTAACCTTGCGTTAAATATATGCAATGTTGAGTTTGAATATCTCCGATCTGCCGCTCTCGAGACTCTTTGAATCATTTGAATAATGAAACTTGCTGATCTAAATTTAACACGCGAGTAAAAGGATCTCGGTAATTGTTGAATGTCTTGTTAAATGTTAAATTGAAAAGCGCACAACTCTCGAAGATAATGCACAATGACTTTCGCTCGTTGATATGCATTTCGTGAATGCATCCACGCTTTGTTTACGAGCAGCGGCTTACGCAAGCACGGTTTATGCACCGTTTCGCGGCACAAGTAGCGAGATCATCGGCCCATAAAAAGCGGTTTGAAAAAGGAACGAACTTGTGGGAGAGATCTGGACGAAATTTGCATACCGCGGTGCAACGACGGCTATAAATTTCGAGGCGTCGACTGGTCGGATGTAGACGAGGAATTCTGCGGCGGATCGCCGTTCCATCGTCAGACTTCGCAGAACTGTTTTACATTCGAGATCATACGAGTGTGTTTACGTTCGTAAGGTTCATTAACGATAAGTCCCGCTAAGCACTGTTGTCTGTTCGTTGCAGTCGGACATAGAACGAACGAAGCGAAGAAGTGGAGAAAGAAATAACGCTCGCAAAAAAAAGAGACGATATCGAATAGTCAAAACAAATGTACATATATTGAATAATAAATTCTCCTCCACGATAATTCAATCCCGGAACACACGCCAGCCTGTCCTCGTAAGTGAGGTGGCAAATGATCAAGGCTGTCTGTGGCGAAAGGATCATGACGCTCGCATATTTCTTTTATATTTCGTGTCACCGCGTTGGCGTGCGATTCTATTCGCAAAAGAAATCGGCACCCGCATCAGAATTGTGTAAAGTTCGAGGCCGCCTGCAGCCGCGACAACTATGATCTATGTTAATACGATGGCGAAAGAATGGGAGTTGGCTCTTTAAACCGTCTATCTAAATATAAATTCGGCAATGACGCAGAGCGCGACCTTGACCGTGAGAAATATCAAAAAGTATTCTGAAAGACCGCCGACACACATTGTGTCGTAAATCATCAACATTCTTATCTACACGCGGAGACACGTAATCGGAATCAATCGCGTGGAAATTAATCCAGACTGCACGCTAGAACGAACGGAAAATTGAAGGTCTGAATGCAAAAAACAAGGCGACTTAATTTTTTTACGAAAGCGAGTTACAGAGACCGTGTTCGGTTTACGGTGAAAGTTCAAGTCTAATATTAGTGTCATTAGAGAACTGCATCCGAGAGCGTTTAGTTTCATGCTTATCAGAAGCGCGTTATCACAACGTGACGGCACAATCCGCGCGCAACTGCGTCAGTTTTGCAAACTTGTCGTCGATTCACAATATACAGCTACCATTATTCCTCGTCGATTAATCGATAAATGACGGCTGCAACGTCGCACAATTGTAAAAATACGGGCGATCTTCAATGTGACCACGCGTTATCGCGGCGACAGCGTGCATGATAATAAGAAATGACTTTGCGATCGTGAGAACGAAGAGACATTTCACCGAAAAGTGTCGTTGTTCATTGTGTGCAAAATTTCGTGTCCATAATTTATAGAGCACTCCAGATTTCCGTGTTTACTTTTACATATATTTAGCGCGCCGTGAAAAATCGGAGCGATAAATCTTTATAGTTTACGTTTCTACGTGCAATCTAAGCCGAGAGTCGGGTTTTTTTTTTTTTCTTATTATTGTCCGTTTGATTAAACATTCCACACAAAAGAAATAACGATATTGTGTAGAGCAGGCAGTTGTTTAGTCGAGGAATTTCAGGTGGACGAGAAAGCCGAGTTGCTATTGTTGATCCCGAGTGGGTCAAGTCATTATGTTTTAAAATAGTCTGCGTATTATCGACGATTCTTATTATCTCCTAACTGGAGGCCAAGGCTCAGTGACGTTACGATTCGATGTGTCATCGTGCATTTCGACAGAGCTATTGGTTGACGGAGCAAGGAAATTTTCCCCTTGGATAAGAGATATCTTTTTCGAGCTACGCTTTTTAGTTTGGCTTATCTGCTTCCATCTAAAATTTAACAATTTTTTCAATCGTACTTATCTGCTTTTTTACTTTTAAAAATTAAACTTACAATTTATCGTTTTCATTATCACGATACTATTTTTAAAGGCTTAATTAGCCACAGTTATATAATTGAATCAAATTATTCACAATGTAACGTTATGTAGCAAGAAAATTAACATTTAATGATACATAACAAAAAAATGTGACATATAGAAACCGAAAGGGACCAGTCGAGCACTTGGGCATTAAAAGCAAAGGGTGTGCACCTCGCTGCATCCCGCAACGTGTGCCATGGGCGCAGACACCCTTCAGCCAAGGTCTGTCTGTGCGTATGCGTGCGAGTGTCTCTCAGCGCGCGCGCGCAACATGTGCGCGTCAAGTGCCCGCGTGTGGTATGCGCTATGATAAGAAGGGCAAACACAGTTGGGACTTGAGGCCCCTATCTCGGCCCAGGCCTCGTAGAAGGAAAATGGGTTCTTCCTTAGAAATAGTGATAAGCTGATAAACTTTCTCCCCACCGAACGTTTCGTAATGAATCTCAACACGATTTATAATTCATTTTGAAATAAGACACTGATAAGTTTATCTTATACAAATTACTCACGAAATGAATTTATAGTACAGTCAGCTCTATACAAAATTTTTACATTCTCCAGCAAATGTCGAAATGCTACTTTTTGCAGTTTAATAATAAACATTGGGAATAATGGATTTTTAAAAATCGAATTAAGCTTTTATAAAAAGCACTGCATCTCTTTAACCTTTCCAAAAATTCCTTAATTGTGCACGTTATTTCCAGGCATCTTTTTTGAGTTCGATTTTCCTGTTGACGATAATAACTCGAGAGTTTAAACAGATTTAAGTGATTACGTTTTTCGGTTGATTACGATTATGTACGATATAATATTTTTAAATTTTATCGCAGTATCTTATCGCTTTATAATGATGAAACCGTGCACACACGCACACAGCTAAACTGTTCGCTCCAGTTTTTTTAGTTTCGAGCTTAGGAAGTCTACATGTGTATTTAACCATAATTTTATCTTCAAAACGAATATAATAATATATTACAATTTGTCGTTTACGACAACATATATAGCTTCGTTGCGTATGTAGTTCAGGAATGAAAATCGATGAAAGTTTGGACAGGAAAAAAAATCTAAACATACTGTACCGAGAGCTCCGTTATCAGTCAAGGTTAGCTGATAAAGAAGCTTTTTTTTCTTAGTTTTCAGTATACTCAACAAATTATCTAACCAATTATATCAGAAGCTCGAGTACATTCTGTCGTGCCAGATTCCAAGGATTCAAAGTTTATCTTTCGGAATTACGTAAAATTCAGTCGCACGAGATAAAACTCGCGAGACACTGCATGTCAATAATAATTACAATAATAATTCAAATCCGTTCATTTGTATAGGAATCTAATAAAAAAAAAATAGAAATACTGTGAATTCCTATAGAAAAACGGCAATTATTCTTGTATACCGACGCGCTGTCGTGCGAATTGTTCTTCAATTGTTTCCTTCCGACGCTGTCATCGCTATTATGTCGGGCTCTCGTCGGAGTGGATCGAAAGTGGCAGGACATTGGCAAGAGTGGCCATTCGAAAGATCTCGCAATCACTCTTGTCCGCTAGGTAGTGCAAAACAAGGTGGAATGACCCAGTCAGTCTCTCCCTCTTGCATATCGCCATTGCATGCGGCGTCGCACAACGTTCTCCCTTTACGCGAGGGCGCGTTTCCGCGAAAAATGGGACTGCGAGCGTGGGGGAGGAGTTTGCGCGAGGTGCAACTCCCAGGTAGTCGAGACTTTCTGTCGCGGCGGCAAACTTCCGCAGGGACTCGAGAGGGGCGAGTGTGGGGGTGCGTCACTTGGGTAATTACCGGTCCCGCGATAATTACTTTTACGTTTTCTTGCCCGCCGCAGGGAGGGAAACAAAGAGCGTAAAACTTCAATCTATCTCGGGCCCGAGTCCTTTGTCGTATGATTATTGCCTCGAGATATGAATAAGTAAACGGGGCGCCGTACAGCTATTATAGCTCCTATTTCTATCGCAACTTCCTTGAACAACCTCGAGAATTCGATGCTGGAAACTTTCTCTTAAATGATTTCGAAGAGATCGGATTTTTTCTTACATATTTAATTTCAATATGTGTTAACTGTAATTGAAAGATTTCTAAGAAATCGGTTAAGATCTGAATATAATTGGTCGAAAGTTCCTCTAATTTCCTGCTCGTTCGAAAGTGACGATCTCACCTGAATATTCTCGCGGAAAGGTAAGCGGAAGAGCAGCGTCGCGATTGCGGTCACTGCGAAGGTTGAGTTCGATGATCGACCTCCCCCCCCAAGTTTAAGGTCCCCAGCGATCCTGCGCGAGGGGTTCATCAACATCAGCGGCAGCGTATGGAGAAGGGAGATCGAAGTACCACCCCCGCGCGTTTCGCAGCGCTGATGAGGCCGCGGAATAGAGCGTTTTTACCCCCTCCTCGCCGTATTCGAGACTGCGATCGCGTAGCGTCGACGAGGCACCCCTCTACGAAACCGCCCCCGCGACTTCCCAGGAAAAGTGCCGCTCGTCGATGCCATTGCACTGCACTGGGTGAGGGTCATTACTCCGAGCAAGGCGAGCCGGTGACCTCGGCGCCAACGCCCGCGATCGATCCAACCCCCGTCGGACGAATGGGGGTGCAATGCACCCGACGTGCGCTGCCGCTTTTCATGTTAACTCGTCTCGTAAGTACGCTCGCGAGGTAACTAGGAGCCCCTAGCGTTCGTCCCGCGTAACTGCAGGAAAAGTGGTTCTAATATTCGATATTTTTAAATAACAATTTAC